CATTTTCAAACGCGCCAAATATCGTCGCGACTCGTTTTATCCTTTTATCAATCCCATTCTATTCGTTGCCAGCCATTTTGATTCGACGCTTAACACTTTGATTTGGGAATTTGTGATTGTGGTTGTTTATTGTTCTTTTGTCTAATTTCTTTCTTCATCTTGATATTCATTCTTCATCTTTCGTAATATCTTGATTTTTGGAGTATTTTGATGTTTTTTGGGAAGAAATTTTTACATTTTTTTAGATATTATTCAAAGGGTATTTGAAATCGGAGTTTGCTATTTTTTGCGATATTATTTTGATGATTTTTGGATTCGAATTTTGCTACTTTTGATGATTTTTGGAATCGGATTTTGCTATTGTTTGCGACATTATTTTGATGATTTTTGGAATCGAATTTTGCCAACTTTAGGAATATTATTTAGAGGGTACTTGAAATTAGAGTTTGCTATTTTTTCGGATATTATTTTACTGGTTTTTGGAGTCGAATTTTGCCATTTTTTTGGAATATTATTTAGAGAGTACTTGGAATCGAATATTGATATTTTTTGTATTTTTATTTTAATGGTTTTTGGAATCGAATTTTGCCATTTGTTTGAATATTATTTAGAAGTTATTTGAAATTATAGTTTGCTATTTTTTTTCAGATATTATTTTACTGGTTTTTGGAGTCGAATTTTGCCATTTTTTTTTGGGATATTATTTAGAGGGTATTTGAAATTATAGTTTGCTATTTTTTTCGGATATTATTTTACTGGTTTTTGGAGTCGAATTTTGCCATTTTTTTGGAATATTATTTAAAGAGTACTTGAAATCAGGGTTTGCTATTTTTTGGGATATTATTTTAATGGTTTCTATAATGGAATTTTGCCATTTTTTGGAGCACTGCTCAAAGAGTACTTGAAATCGAATTTTGTTATTTATTGGGATATCATTTTGACATTCCTTGAAACTTAAGTTTGTCATTTCTTGTGACATTATTTTGACGTTCCTTGCAATCGAATTGTGTCATTTCTTGTGATATTATTTCGACATTTCATGAAATCAAATTTTGTCAGTTTTTGTGAATTAATTTTTCACGCTTTCTGTGATCTCTTGTGACTTTTAGTTACACAGTTAATTTTTATATTTCTGGTAATATGACCTTGCTATTCCTTGTCATATAATCCTTATACTTCTTGACAGACTCTTCCTACTTTTTGTGATGAACGTAATCCTTGTTATTCTTCGCGATAAATTCTTGCCCACTATTTCTCGTAATTTGACACCGACATTTCTTGACACTTCCTACAAAGTAATCTCGCTATTCCCTGTACCTTAATCCCAGTTTTCCCCTGTCATATTATAGCTCGTCTTATCTTTTTTCTGTTTGCTTGCGATTGAATCTTGTTGTCCACTATTTCTTCCCATGCTCGTTTTACATGGTGACTTAATCTTCACTTTTTCCTGCGATCCAATCTTGTCATTCTTTGTGACTCTCCCATTCCTTGTGACCTGATTCTCACTATTTTTCGTGAGTCGTACTATTTTTTCGTAACTAATCATTGATTTTCTTTACGATCTAATCCTACTTATTCACCGCAATCAAATCCCGTCGTTTCTCGCCATTCTTTCTGACCCAATTCCATTTTCACGAACAAATAAACTTTAGGAAGATCAATTTCTCCGTGGAGATTCGCTCCATAAATCCCGCCCTTTCTATTCTTCGTTTTTCGACCGCAGCCCCGTGTCGCCGCCAGCTAATTAATTTAATTCGACGTCGATAAAATCGGGCTTCGATTTTCCATCCGGCCGGTATTGTTAATCGCGTCGAAATCGACAATAACGTACGACGATTTATAAGGTATTACAGTATACGAGCGGTCGGTACTGTTCCTTTTTTCCTTTTTCTCCCGGTCCCAGTATAATAACGTAACTCCGACAGGAATTATTAGCCTCTATGGCTGGCGGAAAATTGCCGGGCAAAAATTTGATTCGGGCTCGATATCAGCCAGCACGTATCGATTTATGTTAATGCTCGAACATGCATGCTCTCTGAACGGTCACCGAAAAATGCCGCCTCTCTCCTTCGCACTTATGCGACCGTTAAGTCAATTACACGGTGTTAATTAACTCGTAGCCGTATCGGGGTCGGGATATTTTTTTTCCTCGTCGGATTATTAGTAAATATGACCGGTAATATTGCGGACCAATCGGCACGGTTCATTTGCCTTGTAAAGGCGAAACTAGCGGCTGACATGCAGCATAAACCGCAAATTGGCACGCGTTCAACTCCAGGTCTCGAAACGATATGCTGCGAAACACGCGATTCGAGATCATTCAACGATGCGACGACCTGTCCACTGTGTTTTCAACCTTAACGCCTAATTTCATAGCGATGGAATACTGAAGCACACTTTGTGATTTATGTTTCGACAGATTTCGGGGACCCTGGGGAATGTGACTATGAAGAAAACGGTAATATAGAGAAAGGGAACTCGGAGGTTTTTATATTTTGTTTTAAACTGGAAGTTAACAGATATTTAAAGTATACTATAGAGAGGTTATTTGATAGAAATATTTGATTTTGTATTATTTTTTTCAGGTAGTTTCAATGGGTTCATTTGTAAGAAGTTTTGGTATTTAGGTTTGGTATTTTGGTTATGGTATTTAGATTACCATAGTCTTTAGGTTACATTTTATGACATTTTTAGATTTTTAGGTTAAATATTAAGGGGTTATTGAAAATTTTGTTTGAGTATTTGAAGACTGGAGGTATCTGAGTAATGGAGAATAATAACTCAGGAATATGAGTATTTGAGATTACTAACTTGAAAATGTGAGTACTTGAATTAGGTACTCAAAAAATATTCAAACATTCTAAATATTCAAACTGAAAATTTGTAATTTATATATTTAAATAGTTGGATAATTGAAAATTTTAAATTTATGTATTTGAATATTTGGATAGCTGGAAATTTGAAATTTGTATATTTAAGTATTCAGAAATTTGATACTATACTATCCTAGTATTTGAAAATTTAGAATTGTAATTTGAATATTCGATGATTCCAAATAATAGTTACTGAGCATTCAAAAATTTCAAATTTTTGTATTTAAATATTCGATTATTTGAAATTTGAATACTTGGACAATTAAACATTTAAAATTAGTGTATTTGAGTATTCAGAAATTTGAAATTGAAATATTTAGGTATTCGAAAAATTGAAATATCTTTGTTCCAGTATTTAAAAGTCTGAAATTCAAATATTTAGGTATTCAGAAATCTGAAATTTGTACTTTTAAGTATACGAAAATTCGAAGTTCTAGTATTTGAGTATTTAAAATACTCGAGTTTTGGAAATTCAAGTATTCTAAAATTAGTAATGATAAAATGTAAATACTTGTGTTTAGTATTCAAAAATTTGATATCTAAATGTTTGTGTATTCGAAAATTTAAAATTTGAATATTGGAGTATTCGAAAACAAGAAATTTGAATATTTGAGAATTCGAAAACAAGAAATTTCAACATTTGAGTATTCGAAAACAAGAAATTTGAATATTTGAGTACTCAAAACAAGAAATTGCAACATTTGAGTATTCGGAAACTTGAAATTTGAATATTTGAGTATTCGAAAACGAATAATTTGAATATTTGAGAATTCGAAAACTTGAAATTTGAATATTTGAGTATTCGAAAACAAGAAATTTGAATATTTGAGTACTCAAAACAAGAAATTTCAACATTTGAGAATTCGAAAACCTGAAATTTGTATGTTTGAGTATTCAAAAACCTGAAATTTGAATGTTTGAGTATTCGAAAACTTGAAAATTGAATATTTGAATATTCGGAAATTTGAACTATAATTTGAAAACTGGAAAATTCACAACTTTAACATTTGAGTACTTAAAGATTCGAAAATCCAATATTTGAATAATCAAAAATTCAAAACTCTGCTATATTCAATTATTCAAAGATTCGAAATTCGAATATCTATCCATTCAAATAACTAAAATCCTATTAATAAACTATTCTAAAATGCGAAATAATACTCAACGCGTAAAAGCATCACGAACCAAAGTTCAACTACAAAAATTCGTATATTTAATGAAAAGGATAAATTCTATTCGAAAGACATAAAAGACGGCGAATGCCCGATTGATCGAAGGAAAGTAGCGTTCTAATAAATTGCTATTCGTTAATTGGTTCGTTGCTGACCCAATACTTTCAACGAGAAAATGCAATGGTCGCCGTTGATTAGCGAAGAAGGCGAGTTTCGAAGAAGCGTTCGCCTGTTTCTTTCGGCTGATCTTCGCGAGGCTGCAAGAGGTACCCTCGTTAATTAAACCCGGTCGAGGAAAATACAATTATCCACCAAACAATCGTGGAAATTAATTAAGAGCCACTTCGACGACGGAACATTATTTTCGACAAAAATTTGAACCTTCTGTAACGTTAATTAAGTTAATTAGATCGACCAATCACGTCTTCGTTTATCGCTTAAATTAGATCGACTACTAAAGATGCTTTGATTTAACGCTTTAATTGCTGCATAATGCATCTCATCAAATACTTAGAGAAACGGTATTTTCGACAAAATCATTTTTCATGAAAATAGCGTTAGTAATGTTACTTCAAAAAAATTAAATGACTCATGCGTAAAATACATGTAGGTTATAATTAATATACATAAAAAATTTATGCTTGATTATTTCAAAAGTTATAAATGAATAAGTAGCCTTGCTCTAATAATAATAATAATTCTTTTCATTTTTTATTCCTAAACATATTCGTTTACCGTTTTGAAGCGTAAAAGTTGTTTATGTAATTTTGATTTAATTTACGAATATAATTGTGCAAAATATGTTTAAAAATGATGATAATGAACGTTCAAAGAAACGTTTATAATATTACGTAGTTTTCAATTCAGCATAACGGGAACAATCCTCCGTAAATGCGATAAAACGTTGTAAAAGACTATTTGAAAGCACGGCAAGAACATTCTGAGCTCGTCTTACCCTTTCTCGACACACTCGAAGAAATCCTTTCATCCCTGTTGCCTCGGTTCGGCTCTCTGTGTTTATTCTGCAGGATGCTGGCATCTGAAACAAAACGGAAAGAACACGTCATCAGTTTCTAGTACAGGGACGCGTATTCTACCGTGACAGGATCAGACGATAAAGAAAAAAGTATCGTAAGAAACAAACGGCAGAGATGACGATATTCAAATTTTATGCTCCTCCTAACCGGAAACGATCAAACAAATCTGTTTATTCTCGACGTTTCAAGCTTCTTTTGTTGTTTTTTCACCGAGTATTTCATAGTTTGGCATTGAAAATTTATTTCCATATCTGTCATTTTCATGGATAAGAAATAAAACTAATTTATGGATAGTGGTGTATTTATTATAATTCACTATGTTATATTTAATATCAGCAAGTATTCGTTCATTTTTAATTAACAATCATTAAATGATTAAGGATCGATTATTAAATGATTAAGGATCATTCATTTTTAATATACTTTTTCCGGCAGTGAACAGTGCAGTGTCGAAGAATTTATGATTTAAATTTCCCGCGTTTTTGTTGCAGCTATTCTTGCTTTTCACCTTAAAAATTCTCTTCAGATTTTAAAAGTATGTTGGAAATTCATACTCATATTATTAAATAAACAAATTTAAATAGACAAGATTATTAAAAAGATTTAAACAGAGATAAACAGATTTTTAAGCGAATAAATCAGACTAAATACAAGACATAACTTAAAAAGTGTTATAGTAACAGCATGAAATATAAAGCCTGCATGTAACTTGAGAAATGTATACATTTTTTACTATTATTAATGTAAAGATATATTAAATTTTTTGTGCATTGAATTACATAAATTGTATAAGGCTTTCATTAATCTTTTATTAATTGCAATTTTGGTTTATGAGTTTGTTGGTTTATTATAATTAAATTCGGAGTGCTCTGTAATTGCATTACGGGTTCTATTATAGATACATTCAAAATTCCACGTTGTTGATTATGAAATTGTATTATTCGAACATCCTGTGAAGAATCATTAGTTGAGTTGCCATGTGCAATTACACTAACTAATATCACGCTCGACGAATATTAACATAAAATTTCTCTCCATTATTAGATGAAAATATTCCCTTCTCTACCATTTACCAATTATAATGATAAATACTACGTAGGTTACTGTAACCAATCACATTAACGTTCGCAATTATTACTTTAGTCACATTGTAGTGCATTTTTAATAGAAAATTACGTTTATTTTTAATAGAAGATTGATAACGATTAATAAATAAAACAACATTAGAAAATTTACATAAAAAATCCTTTGCAACGTGTAATCAATTTACACAATATAACACAAAGTGTTATACTCCATAAAAATATTGTGTATAATAAAATATAAACGATTCAATGTTCAAATCTGTGCTTTATTGCAGAAATTGCTGAAAAAGGTCGGTTGAATTATACAGTAACCCAATAAATGATTAGTAGATATAAAGAGTACAATGATGGAGAAATTGGATATTGTAAAATTTGATACGCGGAAAATAATTTGGATATTTGTTATACACTGCATTCAGGACAAAATAAGGTTTTCTTGAAAGCCAGTGGCAAAATAGAGAGCCAGTAGTACTCGTTCGAGGCAAATAAGTAATTATGCGGGCAACAAAATGCAAAGTAAACTGTGGTTTCATATGTACGAGAGAACTCGAAGTTAGTTAGCATATTAACATTTATATGAAACTAACTGGTTCATAAATCACAGCACATATTCACCGAGTGAAAAGTAAGCTCAACCACACTCGACGTGTCCTTCACCAAAGTATTTGTCACTCGCTAATAAATTACAATTTTCGGATAAAACGTCGTGATTCGAAGTTCCTGCTAATTACAGACTACACACTAAAGCTACTTAGCGATTCTAATGCCTGGTTTATGAATTCCCTGGAGGGTGGTGAATTCGAAGACACTGGCGGAGTGCACCTACCTAATATATATTTTTAATCCTTATAGCGTTATAAAAGTCGTCGGTATCCAAGGTATAATTTGGAACATATCCCCTTGGAGTTATACCATCTTCCGTTTCTCGAATATCTCTATAATCCTTGTATCCTCTTTGCTCGTAGCCGTTTGTAGTCTTCTTCGGTTACCGTCTCACCCTGCCTACTCTTTCTAAATCTCTATTTCTACCTTATCACTATTATTTGCATTCAGTTTAATTTAAAAGCACTCTATTTTGAGACTTCGCGTGCACGTGATCCTACCCCGAGATAAAAGTTTCTTGCATACGTTTAATATTCGATGGAAATCGCAGGAGAAACACGGTCGCACGATATTTGTTATCGAACGACAGTTCTTTTATCTTTATCCGATTCTTCGCGACATGAAATATCATACGGCTATAGGTGTACACTTTGAGGAATGCAGAATGATCAAAGCAACTATTTCTTTGTGCGCGTTTCTTGTTGAACGTACGAATGAAAACAATTTGTCGCTTTCATCCTGGTACACCAGCAACTATTATTTCTGCAATTTATAAGCCGCCCCATCTTACAGGGTCTCTGAGAAATCTGCTTTTAAAGCGATTAAATTCTACGAAACGAGAACGCCACACCGATTCTAAATCTCTCTTACGGAAAACATTAAAGCTGAACACGCGTTCCGGAAAACGAGACCGACGTTGGATACAGCATGGCTTAGATTTCATCGTATCGCGTTTAACGTGACACGATTATGTTACCCTCGCCAGAGAAATTATCTACACGGTGCTCTGAAAATAACCACACGAAATTATATGCAGTTGGATTAGAAGTTACCACTTTCTAACACGCGTTATTGCAGATATACAATGTTTTTATTTGTCAGGTATTTTGTCGGCATTTTAAAAATAGTCGTTTCTGAGTACTATATTTTTGTATTTATAACTCTGTAAATATAGAAATTCAGAAATTTATAAATCTTACAAATTATGTATTTTAAAATTTCACAAATTTCAAATTTTATAATCCTTAATAATTAGAACTATCAGTGTTAAACTACTTCTAAATTGAAAATGAAGTGAAAAAATAAATAAGTACTGACAAATGAACCAACATGTTCAACTATCCGTTGTCCCAACAACATATGACAGACACTTTGACAAAATCACGACAACAAAATTTGGTAATATAAAACATGAAACTTGAAACCACTCATTTTGACAAGTTGGTAGTTCCAATGTAATTTAAAATTTTTTAATTTTCAAGTTTTGAAGTTCTGAAATTTTCAAACTCTCAAATATTCAAATTCTCGAATTTTTAAATACCGCAATTTCGGAAGTCACTAATGCCTTCACTTTCATACTGCTAGACCCTCAAATTCCTAGATACCCAAATCCGTATACTGACAAGTTCCTAGATCTTCAAACTTTTAGGCTATCAAATACCTTAGTCTCCGGAATTCTAGATTTCTAAATCCTTAAACACATACGTTCCGAAATTCTTAAAATTTCAAATTTCCAAATTCTAAATTTACAAAATTTTAAAACTCCAAAATCTCAAATCCCCAAATCCTAAATTCAGAAAATTTCAAATCCCTAAATCCCTGTATCACCAAACTCCCAAATCTCTAAAATTCCAGCTCCCCAAATCCCAAATCTCTAAATCATCAAATTTCCTAGGTTCCAAATTCCCAAAATCCCAACTACTCAAAATCTTAAAGCACCAAAATTCTAAATTTTCCAAATTCCAAATTCCTAAAATTCTAAATCTCGAAAAGCTCAAATCCCTAAAATCCCTAACTCCTATATTTCTAAATCCCTAAATTTCCCAATCTTCAAATCTCCAAAATCTCAACTTCACAAAATCTCAAATACCCAAACTCACAAATCCCCAAATCCCCAAATCCTCAAATCCTCAAATCCTCAAATCCCCAAATACTCAAATCTCAAAACCTCAAAATGTCTAATATCGCAAAATCCAAAATTATTAAAATCCCAAATCCCCATAGTTCCAAATCCCATAATCTCAAATCCCTTAATTCCAAATCCCAAATCCCTATAATCTCTAAAATCCCAAATCCCCAAACTCCCAAACTCCCAAATCCCCAAAATCCCAAATCCCCAAACTCCCAAATCCCCAAAATCCCAAATCCCCAAACTCCCAAATCCCCAAACTCCCAAATTCTCAATATCCCAAATCCCCGATACCCCAAATCCCCAATATCCCAAATCCCTAAAATCCCAAATCCCCAAACTCCCAAATCCCCAAACTCCCAAATCCCCAAAATCCCAAATCCCCAAATTCCCAAATCCCCAAACTCCCAAATCCCTAAAATCCCAAATCCCCAAACTCCCAAATCCCCAATATCCCAAATCCCCAATATCCCAAATCCCCGATACCTCAAATCTCCAATATCCCAAATCCCTAAAATCCCAAATCCCCAAATTTCCAAATCCCCAAACTCCCAAATCCCCAAACTCCCAAATCCCTAATATCCCAAATCCCCAAACTCCCAAATCCCCAATATCCCAAATCCCCAATACCTCAAATCCCCAATATTCCAAATCCCCAATACCTCAAATCCCCAATATCCCAAATCCCTAAAATCCCAAATCCCCAAATTTCCAAATTCCCAAATCCCCAAACTCCCAAATCCCTAGATCCTCAGATCCCCAAATCCCCAAATTATAAATTCCAACTCAATCATAAAATCCCCAAAATACCAGAAATAATCAGTATCGTAAAAATCTGAAGAGAATTGTTTGCTAACCGCGAAAGAGTATAAACCTACAAAACAAGTGTTAAGCATTCACGAGTGCTCGTTAATAGCAGCAATTATTCGAAAGTAATTATAACAGCGCAAGGTATGCACGTACCGGTGAAATACCTTCGAGACAATATTTAGCCGGTCGTTTAATGACTATTTATACAACGATTAAGGTACAAAGTATCCAACGACCTAACCGCTATCACGACTGTGCGGTAACAACGACGATATTCAAATTTCATCCAACTTCCATCCACGGCTGGTCCGCTTGAAAGCTCCAAAACAAATCCTTTTATCCTCCGTGTTCCTCTGCCGCCATCTAACTATCCCGC